TCGCTCAGCCAGTGAGCGGGAACCGGTCTGTATGTGGGATCCGAACCCTAGGCGGGAGCGCACTGTAGCAGTGCGCCACCGGGCCGGCCCAAAAAAGATGAATCTTTCATCCATTCAGTAGATAGCTGTGCCAGCGACAACTGTAGGTGCTGGAGTATGTGAAGTTGAATGACATACTTCCATCCTGCCTTTAGGAAGTTCATAACTTATAGGCAAGAATGTCAAACTAGTTCCCAAGAGAGGCCCTGCCTTTGTCAAGGAACTGAAGACCTCACGCGAGAGCAGTTAGAAACATCTGGGCCTTGGAGCCAGGCAGACCTGGGACTGAATTATGGTTTATGCCCTTTTTTTCTTTCATCTGTAAAAAGGTGAGATGATAGTACCAACCTTAGTTGTTCTGAGGGCACTTGGCCTGGAGCCTGGCCCATAGTAAGTACTTTAAAATGGCAGCTCCTCTTGGGCCAGCCCGTGGCTCAGTCGGGAGAGTGTGGTGCTGATAACACCAAGGCCACGGGTTCGGATCCCATATAGGGATGGCCGGTTAGCTCACTGGGTGAGCATGGTGCAGACGACACCAAGTCTAAGATCCCCTTACTGGTCATCTTTAAAAAAAAAAAAAAAAAAAAAAATGGCAGCTACTTTTGGACCAGTTAACCCCCTTGAGTGGATCCTCGTGATGCAAGATATAGCAAATAAAAAAGAAACTATCTTACGTTTTATAGACCTTTTTGCCACTTTTTCTTGGTTAAGGGTTTAGAACATGATTTAATCTCATAGAGGTTTTTTCTTTCTTTGGAAAAGCTGGTGCCTGTTGGTACTATGTCTTTATCACTTGGCAGCAGGGGAGGAGGGAGGAGGCTGGATTCATGTAGCAAGCTTGGGCCCTTCGTACTGTTCTCTGCCTCCAGGTCCCCTGAAGTGTTGAAGTCAGAATTCCTTTGAGATGTCAGCCTTGACCTTGTAGTGAACTGAAATTGAAACTAACATGGTGTAGAATTACTTGAAGTGATTCAGACTCAGAATCTCTGAGAATTGCTACTATAAATAATTGATGAATGTCTGTCTTGTAACTATGGTTAAGGCATTGTCCTAAGCACTGTAGGGAATATATGGCTTCTGCCTTCAAGTGTTTGATTCCCTTTAGGTACAGTAAGGCATGTATACAGTATAAGGTAGAAACTGTATTAATAAACAACATTAGCTGTCCTTTATAGATTACTTACTATGTTTTGATGTGCTGAGCATTTTAGACACTGTCTCCTTTAAATCACATGATAATTCCATGAGGAAGGTACTGTTTTTCTTTTTTTTTCCTTTTTGTCTTTTTTTACTGACCAGCAACGGGATCGCAACCCTCGGTGTTGCGCCTGCACCACGCTCAACCAGTGAGCCGGAACCAGTCTCCACATGGGATCCGAACCCTCGGTGGGAGCGCCGCCGCGGCGCACTCTCCAGTGCGCCACTGGGCCAGCCCCTGTTTTTCTTATTTTATAGTTGAGGACACTGAGGCTCAGGGAGTCTAAGGACATATGACTGATAAGAGTTGGCACTAGAGATCCCCATCATAAAAGGGGCAGGTAAAATATCCATTCTGAGGAGGAAGAGATAGCTTCTGTTTTGTGGGGGTGGGAGATAAAGAGATCGAGGAAGTCTTTGTGAAAGGGTGGCATTTGAGTTGGGACTGAGTTGAAAGGTGGATAGGATTTGAGAGATGGAACGTAGGGAAAGTGCTTTGAGTAGGAAGAGAGGGATATGTGGGGATCGATCATCTGATTCCTTCACTCTCCTTTGTTATATTCTCTTTTCCCTTACAAGGAAGTCAGTGGGTGGGAAGATGGGTGATTACTTGTCTTTTGAATCTTGCTGTCGTGACGTATGACTTCCACATGACGCGAGTGTGACTGCTGTCAGGAAAAGTTCAACTCTAGGTTGACTGTGGAGTGTTAAGTAATCAGAAGGGAGGAGGATTAGTAGGGGTTGGCACAGTGGGAGGAGGTTTCCTGGAAGAGATGGAAATTCAGATGGATCTTTAAGAATATATAAGATTTTGAGAGGAGTGTAATAGACATTCTAGCAAGAGGAATAATAACATCAGAAATACAACCCTGAGAATTAGCCTCTTATTCCCAGAGCCTGTAAGAGTTGCTCTGTCAGGACTAGCATGATATTTTATTGGAGAGGCTGGGTAGACCGGCAGGGGCTAACTTGGAAGTTTTATGAAAGGCCAGAAGAAAGACAGTCTGTGCTATGTTCTTATCTTCCTGTCATATAGCTAAGGAACTTACAGCATCCCAGATGCTGGCTCATACTCATCTTTATTGCAAGGACAGGGTTGGGGAGCCCTGACACAGGGCATGAAGAAGATAGATACGGGCCAAACTCTGCACTGGAAATGGAGCCACTTTCAGGACAATAGCTTGTTAATTAATTTGCTCATTCATTCAGTTAGCAAATATTCAGTAAGGGCATGTCATGTGCCAGGCACCATACTTGACAGTGGTGAATAGCACAAGCATAGTCCCTGTCCCTTTCAGCTATCCGCCCACTGGTATGATCCTCTAGAGGTGTGATGTCACAGCCCTTGGCTGCCATGTTTATGTGGAGGGGTATACATTTCTTTTTCTTATGATTTCTTTAACTTTACTATTTATTTCCTTGACAGACAAAGCCACAGACCCAAGTGTGTCAGAACAGGATTGGTCAGCTATACAGAATTTCTGTGAGCAGGTGAACACTGACCCCAACGGGTAAGGTGACTTCACACACACTTGATTCTGGGGCTACCCCAGGCTGACTACAGGCCTTTGTTTCTTGAGACTGTTTTATACAGTCAGGCTTTCCTTCATTCCTTTTTCTTCCCCAATAAATAAATAATGTTACTGAGAACACTATTTTTCTAAAATTAACAAATTCAAGTGTTTTTTTTTTTTTTTTGTCTTTTGTCTTTTTTTCCGTGTCCGGCAACGGATCGCAACCCTCAGTGTTGCCCCCGTACCGGACCGGGGACCGGCAACGGGATTGCAACCCTCGGCGTTGCTCCCGCGCCTCGCTCAACCAGTGAGCGGGAACCGGTCTGTATGTGGGATCCGAACCCTCGGCGGGAGCGCCGCCGCGCTTCCCAAGCGGCGCACTATCCAGTGCGCCACTGGGCTGGCCCTCAAGTGGTTTTTTAAAAACTACACAGACCACTCCATTTGTAACTAGCAATTACTAAAATTTTATCTTTTTTTTTTTTTTTTGGCGGCTGGCCAGTATGGGGATCCAAACCTAAAATTTTATTTTATTTTATTTTATTTTTGTCCTTTCCGTGACCGGTAAGGGGATCGCAACCCTTTGGCATGGTGTCGCTCGTGGTGTGGTGTCGCTCGCACCGTGCTCAGCCAGTGAGCGCACTGGCCATCCCTATATAGGATCCGAACCCGCAGCGGGAGCGCCACTGCGCTCCCAGTGCTGCACTCTCCCGAGTGTGCTGCGGGGCCGGCCCCAAACCTAAAATTTTAAATAGTGTTATAAAACAATGATGCTGAGAACTCTCAATGTTACTGATAGGATGTAGTTAGGTTACATAATAATGTGAAAGAAATCAATGTATTATTCTGCATAATTTAAATGTACTCTTTCTTGGATTGAAAAAAAAAAGGAAAAGGGTAAGGTTTTATTGAATTCTATTTCTAATGCGTCTGGATGGGAACTGAAGAATCAAGTCAGTCGTTCAGATATTTGACCTGCGTGGTACTGAATATTCACCTACAGTATTTTGAAGTAAGCCCAAAGTTTGATCACAGTTTCTACTCCAGTGTTCAGTGAGCGTTTATCCTAACAGACAGGGTCTGTGCTGCTCAGGAGCTGCCTAACCATGGGTCTGGGCCCTCTTTGCTTGGCTTGGAGTTTTAAGGGCGAGTTGGCTGAGGGGCAGATGATTTGTCTGGGCAGAAGGAGGAATTCGGGTGCTATGGGTACGACAAGAGTGGGTGGGAGGTGGCTGCTTTCTGGGGCTAATGTGTGGGCTGTATGCCAGTCACCTTCTACCCAGCTTTGGGACACGAGCTGCTGGAGAGAGGCAACCTTACTGAACGTGCTCAGCCAGACCAGCCCAGTTAGTTTTCCCCTCTCTGCCCAGTGTCCAGGTCTTTTTGTTTTCCCTTAGCCCCACACATGCGCCCTGGCTGCTGGCCCACAAGATCCAGTCACCACAAGAGAGAGAAGCTCTTTATTCCTTGACGGTGAGTGTGGCTTGCCCCTTAGCTTAAGCTTTCTTGTCCTGATGCTACAGAGAGAGCTGAGAGGGACCTTGCCTCCGTACCAGTCCATTTCGATAGGGCGGGGAGGGCATCTGAGAGGTTCACCTTCACAGGATTTAGACAGCAGGCTGAGGGGAGTTCTGGGCTAGATTGCCCTTTCTTAGATGTGTTTCTAGAGAGCAGCATTGAGCCCACTTCAGGAGAAGGAAAGGAAGGTTTTATTTCTGTACGGGTAACGTAAGAGGGAAACATAAAAGCCAGTGAAGCTGCTGGGTGAGGCCTGTTACCAGGCGCGGGTTTGGGCCCAGTGTTGCTAGAACTTCCTGTTTTTTCCAAGAGAAACTGGAAGTCCAGATTTTTATATGAATTTTCTGACTATTTAAATGTTTGTGACTAATTCGAAATGTTGAAAACCACAGTATGGACCAGAGGAAACATGCACAGGCCCAGTTTACCTCTTCTGTGCAAGTGACTGACCTCTGGTGGAGCAGTTCTTAGGCACTGGATACCAGATTTCTGCCTCTGGGGAGAGGGTGATTCTCAGATCAGTGTCACCTGCCCAAGGGATCTCCTTAAAAGATGGAGTGACCTCAGGATGCATACACACCTCACTGAGCTATTTCCTTGGCATAAACCTGGCAGTTATTGCAAGATCAAACACTACTTTTTTTCTTTATTTAAAAACATCCCCTTTTTCCAAAACTTCAGTGTCCTCATAAGTTTGAGGAAGGGTTGCTGTGATTCCAGTCTACTAACCAGCAAGTGGTCATCAGCTTTGAGGTGAGCCCTGAGCCACTGGTTTTCCACCTTCTTATGAGAGTCCTATGTCTCTGCAGGTGCTGGAGATGTGTATGAATCACTGCGGAGAGAAGTTCCACAGTGAGGTGGCCAAGTTCCGCTTCCTGAATGAGCTCATCAAAGTGTTGTCCCCAAAGGTGAATACCTGGGGTTGGCCCTGCTCCCTGTGCTGCACCCCCTGCACCCACCCTTCAAACTCCCATTGCCCTTCTCAGACCAGAGGCAGGCCCGCACGTGGATGAACCTACCTGCCTGCCTCCACCTCCTGAGAGGAGGTCCTGCATGAAAGTCCTCTCTTGCCCCTCCATTGATAGCATTTTCAATTGGCCCCTTTAAAATAGATGTGTGACCTAGAGGAGGTGAGGAACTCCAGCATGGAGGCACAGGTTTCTGTAGTGACAGTGAGAGATGGCAGGCGGGACTTCAGCTTCCATGTCTTGCCTTTTCCTCTGCATCTGTCCTCCTGGTACCTGTCTTAGTCATGCTACTCTCAGGTAATTAGTGCTGATTGAGCCCTTACTTGCCACGTTCCAACAACAGACTTCTGACACCTACTGTGCATCCTACAATTCAATTCTGACACTATCCAGAGTTACATGTTTCCCAGACCCTACACGTTAAGGGCTCAGTCCTACCTAGCTACCCATATATCATTGGCCAGCCTTGAGTCTCAGGTGTCCTCAAGCTATTGCTTCCATACTGCCAACTACAAATTCGGGGATTCCCATGACCCTTGCTCCTCAGGTTCCATAATTCACTAGAATGACTCACAGACACAAGCAAACACTATGCGTATTATTAACATTTTATTTTAGAGGATACAAATGGAGGCGATACACAGGTCAAGGTCTTGGTAGGGGAGGAAAGGGGCATAGAGTTTCTGTGCCCTTGACGGAATCTGAGCTTACCCTCCCAGCACATTGATGTATTCACCATCCGGGAAGTTCTTTGAACTTCCTCATTTCATTTTGATCTGGGGTTTCATCACATAGGCATGATTGATCAAGTCACTGGCCTCGTGATTGAACTCAGTCTCCGTTCTTCCCTGCCCCCGGGGTGAGAGGATGGGGCTTGAAGTTCCAACCCTTTAATCACAGGGTTGGTCTTTCTGGTGTGCCTGCCTGTTCTTTGAAACTATCGAAGTGCCCACTGTAAGTCATTAGTATAAACTCAGGTGTGGTCCAAGGGGGCTTGTGAATAACAAAACACCCCTGTAACTCAGGAAATTTTAAGGGCTTTTGAAGCTCTGTGCCAGGAACTGGGAAAAAGACCAAAACTTTTTATTATTCAGACTTGGCTCTAGTCAAAAAATGAATGTCCCCAGTGGTGTAGACAAGGCTCTGACCTAGACCTCTGTATGGTAGACTTTACTTTTAGCAATTTGGGAGAAAGATACTTTAACTCAGGAAGGGATCTGGGGCTGGATGCCGATAATTTGGCCTCTAGTTGTACCTCAGCTCTTTAGTCAGCCTTGGGTAGCTCATTTATCTGGGCCTCAACAGCCATCTCTTTAGTGGAAGTGTTGATTAGACAGTCTCCTAAGTCCCTTTGAGCTCTGTAATTCTCTTTACTTTTTACTTTCAGTACTTAGGATCCTGGGCCACAGAAAAAGTTAAAGGAAGAGTCATTGAAATACTCTTTAGTTGGACAGTCTGGTTTCCAGAAGACCTCAAGATCCGAGATGCTTATCAGATGCTGAAGAAACAAGGTGTGACTCCAGTCACTTGTGTTGTATAGGCACATCTCATTTGATGGCACTTGGCAGACATTGCAGTGTTTACAGATTGAAGGTTTGTTCTGACTGCGTCAAGCAAGTCTGTCAGCGCCATCTTTTTTTTTTCTAACTTTTTTTTTTACCAGTGTTTTTAATTAAGGTATATATATATATTGTTTTTTAAGACATAGTGCTATTGTACACTTAATAGACTATGGTATGATATAAACATAACTTTTATATGCACTGGAAAACAATTTGTGTAACTTGCTTCACTGCAATATTTGCTCTATTGCAGTGGTCTGGAATTGAACCTGTAATATCTCTGAGCTATGTCTGTTTTTTATTTTTATTTTTTGCCTGCATTCCCTTTGACAATATGTAATTTCTTCTTTTTTGTATGCCTTGTAATTTTCTGTTGAAAGGTGGACATCTTGTGTAGGACAGTGGAGACTGAGGTAAATAGTCTTTATTCCTGGAAGTGGGCAGACCTTTCCTCGTGGTAGGCAGGATTTGAGGTTTGTTGTTGCTTTAGTTACCCTCCCTGTACCAGACTTCACATTCCTCTTTAGCTTGTGTTTAGGTTGGGGGCTGATTTGCTACAGTTTTTCTCAGTATTGACCCCACTGTCACCTGTAGGTCTTCCCTTTGCTCTGCACCTCAGGGCAGGCCCTTCCCCCTGCTCTTGCCTTCCCTAACAGTAGACAGCTGTTATTTGTTACTCAGTGGGCTTGGGTGGGGGTGGCAGGAAGGTCAGTCTCTGTTCTGATGAAGCCTCAGTCTTCGGCAGGCGCTGTGTCCTTGATAGGATCTATTCCTGATCCTTCCCCATGCCTAAGGAGGTCTGGGCCCAGGACCTAATTCCTGCCCTTCCCACAGGACAGAAGGGTTTTTCCCATTTTTTTCCTCCAGCCCTAAGGGCTACAAGGTTTGTTGCCCTTCCCCCAACAGTTGAAGGCTTTTGTTCCATAGAGAGAGAAGGATTTAGGTAGGTGGGGCTTCAGGCCTTCCCCATTCTCTTTGTGTGAGCCCCTGGAGAAGGTCCCAAGAAATTCTGTATTCTCTTGGTAGCACTGATGAGTAAGCAATTTTTTATCTTTTCTCAGTGGCTGGCAGGTAGGGGATTAGAACCCACTACCTTGGTGTTAAAAGGCTGTGCTTTACGCAACTGAGCTAACCGGCCAGCCCTAGCTGAGTTACCCTTAGTGATATTGCGTCTTGTGTCTCCTTGGAGGTACTGTGTTTTTTAGGTTTCAGGTTAATTGGTTGTTGCCCTGTGATCTCAGTTCTGGCGGGTTCAAGAAAGTTGTGAGTTTTCAGGTTGTCCAGTGTTTTATTGTCACTTTGGTGGTAATGCTGTTCCTGCCTTCTTGTGTACTGTTCAGAAGCTGGGAGTCTGAATTTTTTATATTGGGATCTTTAGAAGGAGGAAACTGGGTTTAGGGTTTAGAATGGACTAATTTTCCCTGTCACATGCACTTAACATTTTTACATTTTCAGGAGCTTCATCAGGGATCCTATAGTAATTTCTGGGCCTTGGGAGTTTATGTAGCTGCATTAAATGACCAGTATATTTATGCATAAGGCCCACAGACTACAGGCCTTAGGGACTGGTTCTGCTCTGACTTAGTTGGCTCTGATACTCCTTACTTTGTGTGGTTCCTTGGATTCTCCTGAGAGATGATGCAGAGCCTCTGCCATATCCTGGGTGTATCTTTTTAAGGCCATTGACAGTGTTTTATTAGCTGGGTATCAGGAACTAGGGGTTTCTGCAATTTATACTAGATCCTACCGAAGTTACTACTTACCCATGTCAGTATCTTAACTTTGTGAATTCCATGTTGTAGGAATCATAAAACAGGATCCTAAACTACCAGTGGATAAAATCTTACCCCCACCTTCTCCGTGGCCCAAGAGCTCCATCTTTGATGCTAATGAAGAAAAGTCAAAGGTAAGGAACTTCTCCCTCACCTCAGTGGCCTCCTATGTGGATTCTGATCAGACCCCTTCTCTTAGGGACTGTCCTTGAAATGCTCTCTGATAATTGAACCAAAGTGTGGGAGTTCAGCAGAGCATGTGGATGGAGGTGGGTTAGTGAGTTCTCTTCTCTGGAGCAGGCTCTTAAAGAGTGAGGTGACAAAGGTCCAGATGTGTTCTCCATGGATGGGCCAAATAATAAATGCATACTCTTTCTGCTCTCCCCACCCTTATCTTTCCTGGGTCAAAGAATGTTCAAAAGGGCCGGCCCGGTGGCGCACTGGAGAGTGCGCCATTTGGGAGCGCGGCGGCACTCCTGCCGAGGGTTCAGATCCCATGTGGAGACCAGTTCCCGCTCACTGGCTGAGCGCGGTGCGGGCGCAACACCGAGGGTTGTGATCCCGTTGCCGGTCCCCAGTACGGGCGCGACACTGAGGGTTGCGATCCCCTACCGGTCAGTAAAAAAGACAAAAAAAAAAAAAAAAAAAAGAATGTTCAAAAGGCCAACCCAAGGGGAGTATGGAGGATTGGTCATCCCGGTGTCGGTGTGGTGTGTGGTGGGGAATGGTGGAGAGGAAAGAACTGGTTGTGGTTGGCTCAGATCTTTTTCAGTGACAGTGAGCCTGGTCCTGCCCGCTTGCCTTCCACTGTGGCCTCCCAGAGGTGTTTGGTCTTCAGACATCAGTAAGCAGAAGGAGGGGAGGAGGAAGGTGGTCAAAACCCAGACCAAGATCCAGGGATAACTAGTGCGTGTAATGCCTGTGAATGGGGTGATGGCCCTTCAGCATTGGTGGTGACAGTGTTTTTGGTCATCACTATTGGTTAGTTTCAAGGTCTGGTAAGTGCAGCATCAGGAAAGCTCCATGCCGTGTACGTGTTTGATATGCTCTGCCTTTGAACTGCATCCTCTCAGCTGTGCCCTTCCCTGGGTCTAGCTGCTCAGTGACCATCAGGTCACTGTTGGCAGAATGAGCAGGTTAGTCTAGGTCTGGGGCTGCCTTTCTCTCTGGCTTCTCTCCTACTTGGTGCCTTATGTTTGCACAGATGGGAGGAGGTATGGTATGACTTCTGAGAAAAATATAATCCTGGGTCACTGGGCTCAGTATCCTTCTCACAAAGATGTGTGCCAAGCATTCTGCTAGGTGTTGGGAATAAAGTGATGAACAGGATTGCCAGGGTCTGTCCCATCACAGAGCACATGGTTGGGGCAGCCTCAGCACTATTGATCTTTGGGGTCAGATATTTCTCTGGGGGGTGGGGGGGCTGTCCTATGCACTGTAGGTTGTTCACAGTGTTCCTGACCTCTACCTACTAGATGCCAGTAGCATCTCTTCCCTAGTTATGACAACATGACCAAAAATGTGTCCAGACTTTACCAAATGTCCCCTGGGGGATATAATCGTCCCATCCCCTTCCCTGCTTTAAAACCAGTGGTCTAATGGGATGACAGTGGTACCCATCCCATAGTGTCACTGTGGCGATTTGGTAAGGTAATGCACATGAAATGCACAAGCTGTTATTGGTGTTGATACATCTGTTGCTGCTGCGGCCACTCTGGGCCAGTGGAATTAGTTTCACCTTCTCGTTCACTCTCTTCAGCTTCTGACAAGGCTTCTGAAGAGTAGCCACCCTGAGGACCTTCAGGCTGCAAACCGGCTGATCAAGAATTTGGTCAAGGAGGTGGGCATTTTTCCAGTTGATTCTGTAGAACCAGCGTTTAACCAAGGCTGAAGGACAGTGTATATGTGTAGTGCTTGAGGGTAGCGATGAGCAGTTGGCTGGGAGAAGGGACAGCCTCCTAATCCTGAATTGCGGAACAACCGGGAGCTCCCTGAAGGGCAGCATAGTCATTCTGCCATACTTTCCAGCCACTTTCGTCTGTGGTGCTCAGAGCATTTCATAGACACCAGCTTCTGTCCCAGTAACACATACTGGTGTGGGCAGAGTCCAGGTCTGGGAATCTGTTTTTCACAGGGATTGAGGTTGGTGGTACAAAGGAACAGGTCACCACACCCCAAACTGTATTATCTTCTGCCAGGGTATTTTCTTTACCCACAGAATGAGCATTTCCATTCGCTCAGTGTTCTCGTGACTTCCCTGAGCTCTCAACAGTGTATTGCCCCTCAGGCTTCATCCACAGCTTCTGCTCTCACTTCCATTCTTTTTTTCCTCCCAAAAGGAACAGGAGAAATCAGAGAAGGTGTCCAAGAGGGTCAGTGCGGTGGAGGAAGTGCGAAGCCATGTGAAGGTGCTGCAGGAGATGCTGAGCATGTACCGTGGGCCAGGGCAGGCCCTGCCAGACCAGGAGGCGTTGCAGGTAATTCTGTAGTGTAACACTAGAAACTGCATGTGTCTGTCCAAGTGGGTTTGATACGTTTTCACCTATATACATCCATGAGCCGTTATCACAGTCAAGGTAGTAAACACATCTATCACCCCCCCCAATTTTTCTCATGTCCCTTAGTTATCCCTTCTGTCCTCCTCCCCGTCCTCTCATCTCCAAGCTGATACACTTTCTGTTCTGATTAGTTTTCCATTGCCTAGACTCTTGTGTAAACGAGATGATACGTTATGTACCGCCCTCCCCCCCTTAATTTTTGTCTGACTTTTCTCACTTGGCATTATTGAGATCCATTCTCATTGTTGTATGTGTCAATAATTTATTCCTTTTTGTTGCTGAGCAGTAGTGCATTGTACTGATGTAGTGCAATATGTAGGTCCATCTGTCAATTAACATTTGGGTGGTTTCTAGCTTCAGGTGATGATGAATTAAGCTGCCATAAATCGTGTGTACAGGATTTTGTGTGAAAGTATATCTTCAGTTCTCTTGGGTAAATGCCCAGAGATTGCTAGGCCACATGCTAAGTGTATAGTTCACTTTTTAAGAAACTGTCGAACTATTTTCCAGAGCGGTTGCACCATGTTACATTCCTAACAGCAGTATATAGCAGTTACAGTTCTTCCACATCTGACGCATCCTTAGATCTTTAAAGCAATCATTACCACTATCTAATTTTAGAACATTTTAATTACCCCTAAAAGAAATCCCAAACGCATTAGCAGTTATTCCCCTTTGTCCCCTTTCCCCCGGCCCTGACAATCACTAACAAATCCACTTTCTGTCTGTATGGATTTGCCAGTTTAGACATTTCACATAAATGAAATCATACAGTATGTGGCCTTTTGTGTCTGGCTCTGTCACTTAAGGTTTTAAAGGTTCATGTTTGTTTTAGCATGTATCAGTACTTCATTCTTTTTTATGGCTAATATTTTATTATGTGGCTGTACCACATTTTGTGTATCCATTCATTAGCTGATGGGCATTTGGGTTGTTCTTACTTTTTTGCTATTATGACTGATGGCTATGAACATTCGTGTATACTTTTTTGTGTGTGAACCTAAGTATTAAATTCTCTTGGGTATGTACCTAAAAGTGAAATTGCTGGATCATCAGGTAACTTTACATTGAACATTTTGAGGAATTGCCAAACTGTTTTCCAAAGTAGCTGCACCATTTTACAATTTCAACAACTTACAAAGGTTCTGATTCTCCATATCCTGTCAACACTTGTTTACTGTCTATCTTTTTGATAATAGCCATCCTGGTGGGTGTGAAATGGTGTCTCGTTGTGGTTCTGTATTTCTCTGATGGCTTTATGTTAAGCATTCTTTCATATACTTATTGGCCACTTGCATATCCTCTTTGGGGAAATGTTCAATTTTTTGCCCATCCATTAGTTGGGTTGTCCATTTTTGAGTTATAAGAGTTCACACATTCTGGATACAGGTCCCTTATCAGGGAGTTTTCTTCCATTCTGTGGATTGTCTTTTCATCTTGATAGCGTCTTTTGAAGCATTAAAGTCTTTAATTTCAGTGAAATTCAATTTATTTTTTTTCTTTTGTTTCTGGGGTTTTTGTTGTCAAATGGAAGAAGCCACCACCTGGTGGGGACAGGTGGTAGTGGCGGCGCTGCAGTGCTGTCTGAGGCAGCTGTTCTTAGTCTGTGCTGGAGCTCTGCTCTCTACCTCCCTCTGTAGGTCTGCTTCTGTCTTCTCTGCATTCTGGCACTCTGTTTCTCTGCACAGGTGAGACAGTCTTCACATAGCTCCTTTATTGACCTGTCCTTCCATCTCACAAGATTAGCAGAAACTAACTAGTGTCTTTCCCAATTCCAAATTTCTAAGAGAAAAATCTATTTGGCCAGCTTGGCTCTATATCGCCCCATGGCTCAGTCAACTATGATTGGGATTGGACAGAGTTAGGGAGAAAACCTTGCTGACCTCAGTGGGGGGGGGGGGGGGGGG